CAGGATGTCGGGTCGGGAGCGTGAGATGACGAAGGCTTCAGGACTTTTATGTTTTGATTGTATATATATTATGACGATTTACGTTTCCGCTGATGATGGTTTTGATGAACTAATATTTTGACCGGACTTTTGGAATACTTTATGCTTTCAGTAACAGTATGATTTTATTAAAAATTCAGATAACGTTTTTTCAAATTAAGTCACGTTTTTACGGTAGCACCCCAAATCAGTTTTCGCAAAGTAAAAGATTTTATTTTTAAATAACTTTGCAAAATTTTCGCACTCTGATTTTACGATAAGGCAGGGTGTTACAATTAGAAGGGCCAATCGACAGCAACAGATCGTGTCATGATGACAAACCGACGCTTTCCACCCCAAGATGCCATGCTTGAATCACAGTACACTGGGAAATTACAGAGAGTTAGTATTAACGTACATTGAGGTTACTAGCTTGAGGTATAAATACGATCAGATTACGTCGACAGCGCAGGTGCAATGTTCGCCAGGTGCGGTATGCAAGCGTGCCACACTCATTTGATGAGGAGCAGGTATGCCGCATTACAATGTGCCGCGAACGATGTGCCGCGTTGTCGAGCAGACATTCAAGAAAGGTAATTACCAATATAGCTAGTTATCCTCATTTGTGCATATGTGAATCTCTGGAATCTTCCGTGTGTACCAACAACTGGAGTCTTCACAACCAGCGTTCCGACTGGTGATCAGCCAGCAGTCAGAAGATGATGACTAATACGCTGCAGAGTTTCATTTTAAGATCATGTTATATCAAGTGGAACACTTTATTTTAGAAAGTGTCCATTTTCAGTCAGCAGTAATCAACAATTCACTTAATTGTGAATTGATATATCTTCAGTTCAGATCAAGTCTATTATTCAGTATTAAAAATACTGAATTTTCAAGTTATCAGTAAGTATAAGCTTTAAGTTAAGCTTTTACATTCCAGTTTTAGTATTTCCGAGGACGGAAATATTTTAAGGGGGATGGATTGTAACGCCCCGTATTTTATTAATAAAGAAAAATACTAGCTTTTAGTTTTAAGCTAGCCCTTTTTAATAAATAATCATGTTCATATTCCAAGTTCGACTATTAGTCGATACATTATTCGGTTTGATTATCCCAGTAACCGAATGAGTTTCAGATTTAGTTCCAATTCATTTAATTAAATTCATGAGTTCGGAATTAATAAGTTAAGTTGACGAATTGTCCGAAATGTCGATATTGGATTAATCGTCCAAGTCATGAATATTCGAATTAAATTCGAATATCACTTTTATGTTCGGAACTAATTATTTCAGTTAAGATTCTTCGAAATTATTTTCGAAGTCATATTCACGTTCGGATAAATTTTGATATTAAGTACCAAGTTTAATTCGATAAATCATGAGTTATCAAATAATTAAGCATGATTAACAATGCTTAATTAGTTATTAATCATGTTTAGTATATTAAAAAAAAAATTGTCGTGGGGCATGTACACCAAAGTCATGATCATTTTGTTCCAAATTATGCTCAAATTTTATAAAAATGTCGTGTGTATTTTTAAGTATCAAGTCATGGAAAATATGCTTTATGTCATAGCATGAGGTGTCAATTATTTAGCACCTACAAATTATGACTAAGCTTTGGTTAAGATGACTAATCTATTGAGCTTCAAGGTTATGCCATGTGTCCCACAATTCTTCCAACTCTTCCCTAACTCTCGACCATGTATAAGTAGCTTGAGAGATTGGAATAATTGTGCCCATTTTGAGCTATATTATAAGTATATATATATTTACTAGTATAAAGAGAGTGAGGGAGAGTCTTGCACACACACACAAGCGCATAACAGCGTACCACGCGCGTATTCTATGCGCAAGTCGCACGCGGAGACGCACAGTCGCACGCGGAGGCTTGAGCTCTGAGTAGTCCTAGCCGAGCGATTGTCCGAGTGATTGCTAAGGTTGTAACACCCCGGACAAAAATTATATTTGTAGCTCGACTTATTTATCGGATTTAGTATTATTTTAATTATGCGGAGAATTATTAATATTAATTGCATATTATTTTTATCCGAGCCCAAGTAGTATTTTAATAAATCGAGCCTAGTAGCAGTTATATTACCGAGCCCGACCTTATTTATTCGGTCCATTTATCGGTATTTATTGTCCTAA